CTTATTAATTTATTTATATTTAATATAAATTAATTTATTAATTAAAAAAGTTTGAGGTTATTAATTGTTCTCGCATTCTCGTAAATCACAGGGGTTCTCGTTTGAACCTCCACCTATATATATATATATATATATATATCGGTTATTCATTTAATTTGTATATGTGTTTTAGATAACCAATTTCCATGTTATATGCATTTGAATTGAGAAACCTATAAATTGTGCTAATCTTTAGAATTATTGCATAATGTGCTAGTATTTTATATGATTTTTTTTATTTAAGACTTTAAGATTTAAAATATTGTTTAACATATATTTGTTTCATAATGTGAACTTTTTTAGCTATTTGTGAAACAAAACTTAACGTAAAAAAGTTCCACATTGTGAACTGCATACACATGAAACAAACACATTGTGAAAAAAAAAATATTATATATTATATTCATGTTATGCACATGTGCATACCAGAAAAATTTTGTTCTCAAATTACTTGTACGCACATGTGTATATCGTCTAAATGAATTATATATTACCAAAGTGTTCATCATTTTTTTCATATTTTAAGGTTTTCCTCTAAACCTTCCTATATATAGAGTTGGGTTCATATGAGACCAATTTGTTTTTGTAAAATACATAAGAACACATTTTTATACTTAAAACTTTACGACAATATATTATAAAGGTAAAAAAATTTGAACCTTTATGACAAAAACACTATGAAGATTACATTTACAATGTTTTGTTGTTAAATTTTAAATGTAAAAAAATAATCTCAAGGATCTCATAAAAACAACATGGTTTCAGCTGATTCCAAGTGTCTCTCTCTATATAATGGGTTACTCTAAAAAAAATTCAAATTAAAGGAAACTGTTAAATGTTGGTTAACCTAAATAACAAACAAACAATTCTTTAATTATTCAAAATATAATAACTTAAATGGGCATGTTTAATTCTACTTATATACATACATACATACTATATATATATATATATATATATATATGTATATACATATATACATACATATGTATATACATACATACATACATATGTATATACATACATACATACATATATATACATACATACACACACTCTCTCTCCCTCTTTCTCCTAATTTTTAGATTCCACGCTTCCCCTCTCTTCTCTTTAGTTTGTACTTTTGATTCGCACAAAATGTATGCGAGTCCTTGCTTTATAATGTATTTCGGAAACATCGACTTGATTGAAAACAACAACATAAATGACAATGACAAAGAGGGTGAATTAAAGAGCAACATAAAAAGATGATGATTGGAGAATGTAGAATATGTTAGAAAGAAAATGAAAAACATGATCTTTTAAAAATATTGTTAATTTTTCATTCTTGATTTATAATATTTTTGTATATCTCGCTATACCGTGCGACCGACACACTTATATTATAAATGGAACTCTCTATATGCTATTTGAACCTTTTCCTACGAATTTTCTTCTCGTACATTATCGACATCAGTTTTTTTTTTTTTTTCTTATTTATAGGACCCATATGTGAGAAGAGAGAGATGTACCTTTTTGTTTGACTTGGGTATGTTTCACGGGAGGGTAAGAATTTAAATTTTTTGGCTGAGTGCATATGACTTTCTTCTATGGACTGAGCCAATAAACCCTTATCTGGCCCCATCAAGCCACGTTCAAACATATACATATGGCTTATCGAATTAACCATATTTATCATATAGTTTATTAAGTTATTATCGAACATTCTTTAAAAAGACTGATATAGTGAAACCCTAATAAATTTGAATAATGTGGATGGTGGAATACAAATGACTAAAAAATAGAATGCATTGAGAGGTCATGTGATGTTTGGTACAGTTTCTGACTCTCATCATCTGGCTTATGACCCATAAAGATTTGAAGGAGAGACAACACTTGTGTTCTAAAATTTCCCAACAATATCTATTATTTTATTTAACTTTCTATTTATTATAATATTTTTTATTTCTATTTTGAATATTTATTTTATTTTTTATTTCTTATAATTTTTTTTGTGTTTTTACTTTTGGAACTAGGTTAAAGCTACACCACTCATTAAATATATCATCAAGTTTATGACAATTCATATTGAATATATATGTAATGCAATTTGTATTTTTAAATAAATGAAACTTCATAAGTTATACTTTTAAATTTTTTAAGAATTTTAAATTAATCCTATTCAAGCAAATTTTAAATTTGATCTGATAATTTCAGTTATATTTCAGTTGATTTTTAAAAAACTAATAAATATCCATCAACGAACATTATAAAGGAATGTTGTTACATCCCTATTATGACAATGACAAATCATCATGGCCATCAAGTTTATCATTTGATTTGGACCACAGTAGAGTATTGAGCGATGTTGTTTTTAAGTAAGTACAATATCAATCTAGATACAATAATATATGTTGTGTTTTCATCATTTTCTTTTCATATTTGTTAATTTAATTTACGATATATATATATATATATATATATATATATACTCATGATGGATACAATGTATGATAAATTAGGTGATATTTAATTTCTATGCACTTATGAAAGTTTTAACTTCTAGTTAAGTGTAAAAAAAACTTATACAAATAATTGCAATTAATTAAGTGAACGGTGTTTTAAAATAATAGTTATATCTCGAGTTTGATACCAGACGTCCAAAACAATTATGACCACCTAGTTTATCAAAACTAATATTTTATAGTCACATCCTGTCAACGTCAGTTTAGACAAAAATTAAAAATACCTTTTCGGAGAAATTCACTCACTTGGAATATTAAAGTAGATACTCAAGTGATCAATGATTTATTTTCAAAATCATGAGTCTTTTTAACATTCAATGCTCATGAATATGTAGTAGGCCAAATCTTTAACAAGTTATATATATATATATATATATATATATATAACTTGTTAAATTAGGTCAAATCTTTAACAAGTTATATATATATATAAGTTGCATTAATCTATGTGATCTAATTTAATGAATCAAATAAAAAAACCCATTTTTCTTAAGTTCAAAACATGTAGTAGAGTAGAATGAATGATATAGCAGAATCCAACAACCATATTTGTGCCAAGTAATTAAAGCCAACATAATTTCCAAATAAACCTGAAATTTGATGTAAACTACAAATAAGCATACCATTTATATGTACATCTTGTTCCTTTTCCTTTTCTCTACTTGTTACCCTGCCTTCATTATCCTTCTTGCCAGGGGACCCGAAGGAATCGCGGTTAAAACACTCGCCAAATATAGAAAGAATTAGCATCTACAACCCCATGTCTGCCGGTAAGCTGATCTCCAGAAAATATAAGCTGCAAAACGTACGCAAATAGCATCATTCCCATTTCTTGATTTTTCTTGTTTCACTCAGGTTTTATGGGTAACAGTTAAAATCTTGATCGAGAAACATGCCCATCCAGAAGGATTGCCATTTTGTTTCTAATCAACCAATATACTTGCAGAAATAGTAAAACAAGGCTCTCTCGTTTCTAAAGACAATAGCGACAACACCCTTCTTGACCTCTTAAGGAAAACAAAAATCATGATGGTTTTGGATTAAAGAATGTGTTGTTTGATCATAGAAATCAAAAGGTATCTCCATATTCATTTGCTTAGGTTTTGGAAAGTTAAGATTACCTTGCAGACATGAAGGCCATTCCAAAGAAGACGGCCTTGACAGCTTGTTTCTGTCCAGCATAATCAAATGCTAATGGCAGCATTTCGTGAAGAGTTAAAAACGCCATAACTCCACCCACTGTTTAACCAAAGAAAACTCGTCACATGAAGTCTGATTCAATACATGATCACTTCTTCTGAACATAAAACGGGGGGAGAGGGAGAGAGCAGAATTAAGACCTGATCCTAGCAAGCCCTCAAGAATCTCTGGATCTAGGCTACTTGGGAAGAGATATGCTGCAGCATGTCATATTATATGATCAGAAGATTATAATCTGTAATTTAAACCAACAAAAAGCAAGCGGGAACAAGCCACCAGGTCCATGAAAATTGCAGGGGTTATACTTTGGTATGTGCTGTAAGAATTGCAAGGGGGAACATAGTTCCATCTATAACTCCTTTTCGTTATGATTGGAGGATACTTTTGATATTTAATAAATAGTCCAACGCTCATCCTCAAAATGTATTCTCAGGCAAAAGTCGCAATTTCCATGGGATGGGTGGAGTATATTATGATATCAAAGAAATGAGCCACAAGTATTCTACTAATGATTTGATGCTTTTATTAACAGAAGATGTTAAAATTCTTACCTACAATAATGACACCCAAGGGCTCAGCAAGGCCAGAAACCGTTGCCAATTTAAACGCTTGCCATTTGCTGAAGCAAACAAATTTCGTTATTAGTGTCGGTCAACAACATGAGAAACCATGGCGAAATTTAAGATACACTCTCTATACCATGAACATTGCAACAATTCCATTTTCGGAAAAGCTTATAAGTTACAATCAAGAAAAAGCCCCCAACAATAAAAAACTAAGCAACACCCCAATAACCTTTCATTTGTACAACATGCACATGCATACAAGTAATTGAAGATGTTTCCTAGTTTCTATACACGTGTGCATGTTGCACGTAGGATGTTCCCCGGTTTTTCATTTTTTTGCGATATTTCCAATTACCTATCTGTGCATTTTCATTGTTACAAAAGTTTCCTTACTTTGTCATCATTGAAGGGTCAGACATTTGACATATAGCCAAACACTTGCATTTTTCATGGGGCAGAAGGAGGACTTCACAAATTTTCCATGTTCCTAGATTTACGCATGGCATTTATAAAATTGCATCTATTAATCTTCGCGGACCTATTATAATAATATCATCTTTGTAACATCTAAAGTTTCCATTCCATATATCATTAAGCTTTTTACGTTCTTGTTTTGTTTCAACATTTCATGATTATGAATTTTCTATACAATACCACTACTTTTTTTTATCCCACTCGAGTCACGTATTTCTTTGTTTTCAAACAATAGTTATCTACTGCCATAACCTGTGTGAAAAAATAAGAGAGAACCAGGTTTTGGAACTAGTAGGAGAAAGGTATGTTTAGCACTTTTTTAGTCCACCTCCAAATAGCAACACAAAAGGCCGATATAAAAAGTATATACATAATATACTCCCTCACGCTCATAAAAATTGCAATATTTCTTTTTTTGATAAAATTCTTTTATAATTAAATTACTTTTTTTGAAAGGGTGTCCCAGGTTATGCCTGGACTATAAATTGTGACTGCAAAAAATCAGTCTTGATAAACTCAGAGGGCACAATTACTGTGTATGCCTGGATCCGAACCCTGGGTAGATGGGATATTCCACCACATCCCCCTGGACCTCAACCAGTATGCCACAACCCTTGTGGTTTTTATATTAAATTACTTGCTCAATGTCATCGTTACAAAATAGTGACAGATGTTTTTTTGGGTATGGGTTCATGAGGTTCTCTTCTTTGTCGTTTTTTCAAGGGTACTTAGGTCATTTCTCTTAAACTATGCTGGTGAAACATTGCAATTTTCATGGTACGGAGAGAGTAGCATTTTCTTTTATTGCAGTCTCACCTTTGTGTTGCAAAATAAACAGGAAGTGCAACAGCAACACCCTGTTAAAGTAAGAAAGTGAATTAAGGAAAACTTAACTAAAAACCTTTGCTCCCCCATAATAACAGAAAGAATAAATGAATGAAAGGAACATAACGTTTTTCCAAAATACTACCACAAGAGTAAATCTTGAATTCAAAATTTACCTCTGGGATATTGTGCAAAGCAATGGCTAAGGCCAAGTTAAGGCCAACACGAAGACCCTACAGAAGAAGCAAGAAACAAACATGACCAATTATCTATTTCAATAAGAAACAAATGGTCAATAAGTAGAAACCTGTGACTTCTACCAAAAACAAGACACTTTTATAGTCAAGATTGCTGAGTATTTAGCTTCAAAATAGAAAAAAAGGAACCGAATACCATGAAAGTCCCATGTTTGAAGAAAGCAAAATGAAAATTCAATTGCTATAAATTTGTAAAGAAAGATTGCTTTTATTTATCCTTTGCTAAAAGGATTTCAGAAATCCACATCAAGTTAGGTATTTACCTTGAGTGATCCAAGGAAAACAGCCATTCCTTCTGGAAAATTGTGTAAGCTTATGCCTGAAATAAATAAGATACAAGAATTATCCATCAAGACAGAATATGCAAACAATATTTTGAAAGAATTCAAGATTTAATCAAGAAGCTTGGCGCATGAAATTGGATCTTGGATGTCATAACATATTAGCTAAAATTATAATATCTATTTCTGGAAGAGTTCAATCAACAAGCACTGATCAGGCTTAAAAGCATATGTAAAAGTTTCTTTTAAGCTGTTTTATGGAGGAGATAACCTTACCTACTGCTGTAATGATTCCACTAAATAAAACTTGACGACGATGCTTTTTCATGACATCTTTTCCCCCCTCATTCCCATGTTTCTGTTAGGCGGCACAAAAGTTTTGCTGTTATCTATGCAAGACACCAGCCAACAACAGTTCAAAAGCATATATCTTCATTGGGAAAGTAGGATGTTTGACCTTTTTATTTTTCGTGTCTGCTGTAGGACCGAGAGATGGCTCTGGAATGAAATTAGCAATGATGGCAAAGAAAATGACACCTCCAAAGAACTGATCCAAGAGTCGGGCTCTTAAAAGAAATACAAAATAGGGTTGAGAAGGATATATTTGCATTTCAGAAAGTACCGACTCACCCAAAGATTGCCTTTTAGAAAGCCGATGGAATTTATAGCGTTATGGGCCAAATCAAAGAAAGATATGCTTAGCATAAGACCTGCAGCAAAACCCTGCACCAAAGTATTGAAATCTTAGACGACATCGTCAAAGATTCTCACAGAACTCTCTTTCTCTTGATTGAGATTTTCTTTCTAAAATGCATGTGAATTTCAGAAATAAAATATTGTGCATACCTGTAACAGTCCAAGCATCTTCAAGTTTGGAGCTTTGCTCAGAATAACAAAAAGTGCACCTATTCACCATGCAAGATCATATATTAGAAGTTAGGAAGCAAACACAATTGAGAACTTGGATCTCTAAATAGTCGGAAATACAGTCGCAATAATTTGATTGATTAAGAAGTTCGTCCTATGCTAGTATAAACATCTAGATGACCATGAGGACTACCTAGCTAATGAAAACTGAGGTCTAACAACAGAACTACATCATAGGGTGTTTCTCAATATCACAATAGTGCAAGAGATATGAAAAGTTTATGTGATTTAATGGAGATGTGGTCAAAAAAATGATAAGATACAGAAGATAAATAGCCAAATGAGAGGAAAGAAACTTTGAATATTTGATGTTTTAAGAAAGTCCCTCCACCAAAATTCATTTGTCACTGCCAGCTAAATATACTATATTTAGCAAGTAACAAAGAGTAACAGTAACTGGTCTTGAAACTGTTGAAATGCCTTGAATCCTAATCCAAACAGGGAGTCCCTATTCAGTTATGAAGCCTAAATAAAGACTCTCCAATCAGCTGGGGAATGAAGCTTCAATTGGAGCAATGGTATTGGGAAGTAGGATCCCCCTAGTCGGCTTAAAACATATCATATAAGCACTTTAGCGACGTTCATCAGTTTTTTTGTTCTCTCTCTTTTCTACTGGTTTCTCCATATGATGAAAATGCATCTGCTGATGCCGACAGACAAAGTCCTATTCAAATTTGTTGTCTGTGTGTTTGATGGCTTGTTTTTTGTTTCATTACACACAACCCAATTATTAGAAAAATGTAAATGACCAAAAAACACAAATGTTCCTATCTAAACATTTAGAGAGTTTAGATGTCATCCAGAGTTGTGAGAACAACAAACTTATCTTGATTCCTTAATATACATCTCTTATCTTTTTTTCCCTTATTGGCTTTTTTGGGGGCAAGCAAGATCAAGGAGATGCATAATCATGGGAATACAGCAAAACTTACATAGCTTCTACTGTTGTCCCATGATATCTTCATAAACTATGATACCATGAGGAACCTGCTACTTGAAAGCGCCTGACAAATAACTCAGTGAGCTTTGCCATATAATGAAAAGTTATATAGCCGCAAAGGATGGATGATGGTATAAAGTTGATTTTGTGTTTCCTTGACCTAATTTGAATGATCCTGCCAGCTGGGCAACATAATTAAGGAATTCTTCCCCTAATGATGAACATGGTGTTATTTTTTCATCTTCATCATGGGCAAAATACCATGAAAACCTCTATTCGGATTATTCTGAAAACAGAGGTGCACTTAACTTCTGGGATCAACTGGGCTACTTCTTAACTTTTAGAATGACCCAGATTCTAAACCATTTGAGAAGAAACTAATCACCATATTAAACCTTAACAAGTGTATGATAAACAGGAAAACGTTGGTTGTAGATTATTAATGGAATCCACATTGAAATTTTTGAATTTGAAAAGCACTAGGTTTGACATCAAACGGTTAAGGAGTAGATCTTCTTCAGAGTAAGACATAGAACTTGTCCTTATCGACTAGAGTACAATCCAAATACTCAAAGTAATTCATCTCTAAGTAAAATTGAATAAAATTCATAAATTCCCCCAAGAGACAAACAAAATTTACTCGGTAACCAAAAAGATTAAAACAGCAGCTAAACCTCAAAAAACCCCATTCGTGAAACTGAATAAAAGAACAGCTGTTTAGCAGAGTATCGCATCTTCAAACTGATAAAATGCAATTTGAGTCCCAAAAATATTACGAATTCATTTGGTATACAGAATCAACAATAAGTATAACTCATGGAAATGAAGAAATTGAAGGTCAGGGTTAGTGAGTAACGGACCTAAAGATGTACTTAATCCACCAACCATGGAGAGAGAAAGAGCAACCAAGACCTCGGAGTCCATCCTTGAATTTCTTGGAAAGTGAATTGCAGAAAGTTGTGGATGAAAGGATTAGTGAGAGGTTGAATGGGGGGAAGGGGTCATATAAGAGGAGGAGAAGAGGTTGCAGAGGTTGGACGATGAGAATGTGCGAAACTGGTGACAGTAGGTCTCCGATTACCTTCTGCCCCAAATTGTTCCATCACCTACGTTTATTCCAATTTTATTAACTAAAGCAATCATCGTGCGTCAAAATACATAACTAATCAAATTCATTTTCATCGATTCCTTTTATCCTTTTTCCATAAAGAAAAAATACCCAATATGATACATGCCCACATACATGTAAAAATCAGAAACAAATAACAGTTATCATAATGTTCCTCAGTTTTTAACCATCTCTTTACAGACATATAAGGGTAGGTTCAGATTTTAAATTGACTTTCGTTACAAACAGAGTGACAAAGAAGAGCACGTTACATGTCACAAAACCTTTTATTTCCAACAGTTATAATTAATAGAACACTAGTTGTGTATCCGCGCAATGTGGCGGGAGCCATGAATTTTAACGATTTTGAAGTTCCACTGGTTTTATAAGATAAGATTTAACGATGATACAAGTTACACTTGGTCTTTACATATTAATACAATTTGAATAAATAAGAGTTATGGTTCCAATTACAGACTATCGATGAAAAAAATTGTATGACAGTTTAAAATCCAATATATTTAAACGACTCTACAAATGTGTTCGATTTACACCAAGAGCAAAGAACCAAGAAACTTGATTTTTAAGATAAACACTCAAAACCAATAAAGAAAACTACAAATTTGACAGAACATAAGCCATGAAAAGACAAAAAGAGATGGGTTTTAGAATGAAATTTCAACTGCTTACCCTCTTTCTTGTCCAGAAACTCAGATTAAAGTTGAAGTAATACATGTATATATATATATTTCAAAAAAACCCAAGAACATATTAATTCAAAACATATTATACAGTGCAATTTTGACAACCTAACCCTAAAATATATAGTATATATATAAATAAATAACTATAAAAGTATAAATCATAAATATTAAAAATATTTTTTCACGGTATATATAATATGTAATAATATAATTAAGTCAAAAACTATTCAATATTGAACTCATTTCGAAGGTATTAACGAGACGATTATAATGGTGTAATTTGTTAAAATAAAAATGTATTTTTTAAACATGTTTTAATTGATATACGATTATGTATGTTAATTTGATAAAAGTTTAAAATGAAACATTTAAAAGTAAAGAACGTAAAGTAAAGTAAATTAATTAATTAATTATAGGGGTATAAAGTGTAAATTTAAAATTATAATTTTATAAAAATCGGTTGTGAAAGGGTGAGTGTATGTGAGGAGAGGAGGGGGTGAAAAAGTGAGTATAAAGGGTATTTTGGTTAAGTATTTTAAGACTTTAAGACTTTTGCTAAATTTGCTTAATAAGACTAGAAGCGTACTCGCGCAATGCAGCGAGATACATCGTGATTTTAATATTTCATTTTATTCTTTATCTCAGTCGATGTTATAATATAACTTTATGTGATTTTGAGAAAGCGATGATGTTTTTATTTTTTAATAAAATATATGTTTGAAGATATTATAAAAATTTGACAAAAATATATCGATATTAGTATCAAATTAACTATTTTTAATTTCTTATTTTTTTGTGTAATTTTTTAATTCATTTTTTTATAATTTAATTTATGTACAATAACGAAATAATTTATATTTGGTTTAATAATATAATTTTTTTATAAAGATAATAATTATTTATTTAATTGGAATTTGATAATTATTCTAATTATATTTTATATTTTTTAATGAGATGTTCATCTTCTATTTGATTATGTTTATCCGCAATTATTTATACGAATTCAAACATCGAGCTTTAATAAGTTAGACTTATGCATAATTACTTGTAATCTTGAATTTTAAGTAATAAGCATCAATATACAGTACTTGATGCATAACAAAAATATATCGATATTCGTATCAAATTAACTATTTAAAATTTCTCATTTTTTGTGTAATTTTTTAATTCAATTTTTTATTATAATTTAATTTAGGTACAATCACGAAGTAATTTATATTTGGTTAATAATATAATTTTCTTATAAAGATAACAATTAATTATTTTGTTAGAACTCGATAATTATTCTAATTATATTTTAGATTTTTATATTTTAAAATAAGATGTTTATCCTCTATTTAATTATATTTATCCGTAATTAGTTATATGAATTCAAAAATCAAGCTTTGATAAGTTGTACTTTTGCATAATTTACTTGTAATTTTGAATTTTAAGTAAACATTGGTTTTATGTGGTTTTGAGAAAGTGGTAATATTTTTATTTTTGAATAAAATATAAATTTAAAAATATCATAAATTTTTTTTAAAAATATATATCGATATCAGTATTAAATTAATTTTTTTTTAAAGTTATTGTGTTTTGGTGTAATTTCCTTAATTAAATTCTGTTAGTTATCAATGATTATCATAATTATATTTTA